TAGTTCAGCCTGTAATCCCGCGCCTTTGGGAGGCTGAGGTGAGTGGATTGCCTGAGCCCATGGGTTCGAGACCCGCCTGGGCAGCGAGACCTCATTTCTACAATAAATCAAAAAATCAGCCGGGCGTGGTAGCGCATGCCTGTAATTCTGGCTACTTGGAAGGCTGAGGCAGAAGGATCGCCGGAGCCCAGCAGGTCGAGGGTGCGGTGGCCGGGAGCAGCCACTGCACTCCAGTCTGGGGGACAGAGTGGGACTCCAACTCAAAAAAAAAAAAAAATACACTCAGTGAATCCCTGCTCTGGGCCTCACCCTGTGATAAGGCAGTGCTGGGCACACAGCAGTAACCAAGACAGTTCCAGGTTCTGCCTTTAGGAAGCTCACAGTCCAATCGGAAACAGCACCAGGATGGGGGAGGCACCGGCAGAGGGTCAAGACTGGGAAAACATTGGAGGCCACAGAAAAGAACTCGGTCTTGAGCCATGACTTGGAGATCACAGTGTCAAATTTTATTGCTACAAGATCCTACTGGCAGCCATGGGGGTATGAGTCAGAGGAGCAAGGCTAGGGTCAGGGCAGCTGACTGGTGATGGCAGCCACACTGGAAGGAATATAATGTGGGGATGAGTAGGGGAAGACTGACTGGAGACCTACAGAGACTGGATCACAAAACCCCAGTCCCAGGACTTCCAGGTCAACCCCCTGACCCTGCAGCCTCTGGGGACAGAATTAAACACAGCAGGAGTTCCCAAGTGAAGGAAAATAACCCACGTGGCTGGAGCACCAACGACAAAAGAGCTGCCATGTTGGCCAAGCGTGGTGGCTCAAGCCTGTAATCCCAGCACTTTGGGAGGCCGAGGTGAGAGGATTGGCTGAAACCAGGGGTCCGAGACCAGCCTGGGCAACTTGGCAAGACCTTGTCTCTAAAATAAATAAAAAAATTAGCCAGGCATGGTGGCAGGTGCCTGTAATTCCAGCTACTTGGAAGGCTGAGACAGAAGGATCACCTGAGCCCAGCAGGATGAGGCTACAGTGCCATGAGTATGCCATAGCACTCCAGCCTGGGTGACAGAGTGAGATTCCAACTTAAAAAAAAAAAAAAGCAGACATGTAACCTCCCCCCAGTCAAGGGTAGGGCCCATACTTACTTGTAATCAAAGTAATAGCATTTGAGTTGGGCCATGTAGCGCTCGAAGGAGGGGATGTCCTTTCGCAAGATGCTCCACTGAGCCCCGATCTCCAGTATGTCACCTGTGGGTGACAGGGCAGGCTCTCAGGAGGTGACTGAGGTCCTTTCCCCAACCGCCACTGCTGCCAGTCCTGCCACAACCTCCAACCTATCACCCCCAACCAACCCCAGGGACACTCACGGGCCAGAATGAGTTGCTGTTTGGTCAGCTTGGTCCCTGTGGTTGGCAGGAAGTTGAGCTCCAGAAGAACTAGCTGATGGGGATGAAGGGACAGAAGAAAGGAAGGAAAGAAGATGGGACTTCAAATTCAGATTACTTCTCCAGACTGGTTTTCCCACCTGGAAAATGGAGCTAACCATTATCTCCGACTCACAACACTGTTACAAGTATCAGGAGTCAGTCCTCATAAAGCACTCTGATCAGGGTCTGAGCACACAGCCAGTGCCCATTTAGGATTACCTCATGTTACAATTTTTTTTTTTTTTTTTT